GTTTTGTAATTATATTTTACAACATAACGTCATTGCAACAAGAACACATATTTAGTAGTAATAGGCTAAAAAAACTTAGCGTATACTCGAGCGTATAAATGGAAATGTAGAGTGGTCCAATAATTACGAAATATAATGACAGCGATCACGGTAAGCGTTTAGCTTTTGCTGTCCGCCATTTTTAACGTGGCAAAGAACCTTTACGAGTAAATTACACCAAGTACTTCATATATTTTTTGTGGATTTGCGGATTTTTTAAGGATTTTGAAGGATTTCTGTGGATTTTTGAAGGATTTCTGTGGTTTTTAAAGGATTTTTTTGGATTTTGATGGATTCAACGGATTTTGAGGATTTCATGAATTTTTTCTGGATTTTTTCCGGATTTTTTGACGAAGTGTACGGGATTTTTGGAGTGAATTGCCCCTCGGACGAAGGCCTGTATTTTAGTCGCTTCGCCGCCGTTTGCCGATCTAGACGTTCAGTTTTAATTTTCGATTAACTTGTATTAGCAGAAGTCCATAAGTCTAATCTACAGTCTCTACTTATATGTGTTGTTAGCCCCGTTTACACGAGCAAATTTTATTTGACAAATTTCATTTCATCAAAAGCATTTGTTGTTCAAATGCATTTGTCACAATAAATTTGTCACAAATTTATCATCTACACGAGCAAAATATCTCTGACATATGAAATTTGTCAAATAAAATTTGCTCGTGTAAACGGGGCTTTATTTGTGTGATATACATGTATGTTGTATTTCGTGCTAAATATGTATACTTCAACAGTCACATTAGCCCATCTAATATTACCCAGTGTATGGCATGTGCTTGCTATGGTAGCCCTCCTGTCGTCTATCAGTCAACCTAAAACATGTGTAAGGGGCTGCTTATATAGAGGCGAGCCACCCAGGTAACCTGGTTATAGCTCGCTTTCCCTGGATGAATGTCTAGTTACATGAGCCTCTTTAGATGGGCAGGCTTGCCAAAACAAATCACCCAGACTGAGTTATATAGTACAAGCACATTTTCCAATAAAGTGAACCAACAAGTGATCAATCACTCATACTTTTGCAGACAGTCTCGAGATGTATAAACTGACAAAAACAATCACAGAGATATTTTTACCCAGGGGTAATACTGTGCCGAATCATGCGTGATTGTATATAATTTATATGGAAAATCCTAGCTTGGCATTAGCAAGATTTTGGGACAATAAATTTTGGGTCAATTATGCATGTTGGTGTTATGTACTCAGGTGAATATATGATGTTTGTAATGTTACTGTGAGTGTGCATCCACACCGGGCAAGCTGAATAGTTAGCTTGGCCACGGTTGGAGTCGAACCTGTAACCGTGGCCAAGCTAACTTTTCTGCTTGCCCAGTGAGAGTCAGTGGCGTAGCCAGCCCGACAATTTAGTCCCGCAATGCAAATTCAAAATTATTATCATTATTCATTTCTTTAGAAATTGATTGTTTTCACAGTCAATGAACATGAAACTATTTGCATAGCGGGACCAAAGAGTCGGGCTGGCTACGCTACTGGTGAGAGTAACATCACAAACATCATATATTCACCTGAGTACATGACACCAACACACACAAAATAATCGTATCATTGAATACCCCTGTACGCAGATATCGAAGGAACTAGACTCAGTTCCAAAATATCATCAACTCGAACAGACTTGACCATGTAGCTCAGTTGGCAGAGCATTGGACTAGTATGCCAAAGGCCGCATTCGATTCCCACCGTGGCCAAACTAACTTTTCAGCTTGCCCTGTGTGGATGCACACTCAGAGTAACATCACAAACATCAATCAATAATTTGCTGCTGTTATATATCAACCAAATATATATTTTTCTTACTAGGGATTGTCATTAATATATGGATTTAACAAAAGCTTCCCAGGAGAAGGCAAGTTGTCTAAACAAGTGGTAACATATGTAATCATAAATGGCATTCTAAGAACTTCATGGTCTATTTGGAAAATGTTATTCTTTTGCTGGAGAGCATTTTTGTGAATTACCAAACCATGCAAGGGATGGAGTTGCCGACTTGTGGTATACAGCTTGTTTTCTACTAAATTTTTACTAATGGAATTGCTTGACATGTTTGATTGAGAAGTGAGACTACATACATTTAATACATGCAGTATATTTTACTTGTAAATATTCTACATTGAACAGAATATTAACCCTTTAAGAGCAATTTGCTTTACTTTTTTATTTTTTCTGTCTAATGTGGTCAGACAATTTTTGCTCATTAAGGAGAGAGTGCTGCCGCATAATGGGTTAAAGCTTTTCTGTAAATGTAAATTTTTTGAACGATAACTATGTAATGGCCAGTATACTGTGCTGGGAATGGAACCTGCTGCCCTACGGGTGATTCTGATCGGCTTTTTAACCGTCAATTGTCCTGAAGCCCTAAGAATCCATCGCCCTGAGAGTCAATCAAGCTCTACTGTAAACAAGAGTTTATGTATACAGTATAATACTAGTGTCATCCTGGGCAGTTTATTTAATACACTACCAATGACACCACCATGGTATATATAATTATACAGCAACTTGTGGTTAAATGGGTTACCTCTTGGCAAAAGGGCTCTTTAGGTCAGAGGGCTGCAGTAGAATTGCAGGGCTGCAGGTTCAATTCATGCTGACAGGCTTGTAATTGTATTCCACATGTATTCATGATATCATTCTAATCATGTATTCATGATATCATTCTAATCAATTTAGAACTTTATTAAAATATTATAGGGCGTAAGAGTATATCATTATATTATGCTACAGCAAATTGTATTTCCTGCTATAATATACCTCACTAGTACTTGTAGGGATAATAAATTATTTTGACTCGAAAAATGTCTGTATTGATTTATAAAGTGAGTCAAAGACTTTTCTTTACTCCGATATATAGAAGTAATTTTGTCTCCGAAGGAGTCGAATTGACTCCAAAGGTGGAGTAAATAAAAAAGGTACAGAACGACTCCTTTTTTGGAGTAAATTTTACTCCTTTATTTACTCCATTTTTGGTGTAAATTTTACTCCTTAAGTAGAGTTGTTTTTACTCTTTGAGGAGTAAAAACAACTCTACTTATGGAGTAAAATTTACACCAAAAATGGAGTAAATAAAGGAGTAAGTAAAATTTACTCCAAAAAAGGAGTCGTTCTGTACCTTTTTTATTTATTCCACATTTGGAGTCAATTTGACTCCTCGAAATTAACTCTGTAGTTTTAGTAACTTACTGTCTGAGAAGGTAAATGTATATAATCATGCTATATTTCACTTTTTATAGTATATGAAATTAAGCATGCAAAAATCAAGAATACTTGCAAGTGAAAAGTATTCTGACAAAACCTGTGGTTTATGAAATTCTATCATGCACAGTCTGTCTTATTTTGAGTGACTCGCTGTTTAAAGCAAGTGAAAATGCATATATAAGGAGATATAAGCACTGGATTATTTTACCTATTTCCCCGTAAGTGGAAAAATCTGTCACTCCACTCACTTAACTTTTTAAATAAAAATATCATTAACATACAAATCTCCTTACCTAAATAAAATGATATTGTCTCCCTTAATTTTTTTTACAATTTCGCGTGATTTTTTGTTCAATTCAGGGTAAAACAAAGCAACTACAACAAGTTGAAACTACAAAAATCGCCCAAAATACGACGCCATTTTGTTTTTGTTTTTTGTTAAATTTATCCAGGAAATTCCTGGTTAAAAATTCCTGGTTAAAAAAATTAACCAGGATTAATTCCTGGTTAAAAAAATTAACCAGGAAAGTGGTTACAAGCATTCTTGGTTAAAAAATACATAAAATAACCAGGAAATTTAACCAGGAATACTCAGTTAACCCCAAATAGGGTTATTTCCCAGTTAACCATGAAATTTTAACCAGAGTGTTTTTAGAGTGTACTGCGTATCAAATGTGTATACAATGTTCTCCTCTAGTTGCATTACCGGACTCAGAAGACAGTGTTATTATTCTGTTTATAAACCACTTTTCTCTCTTAATTTCCAATAATTTCCCATGTTTGATGACATAAATCTTCTAGAATTAGAATTAAAAAAAATATGTTGCGCAAAGGTTTTTTGTGTTTTAGTAAGTAAATTTATTTATATACAACTCTGTCTTACGCTCCTAATCTTACTCTGTATGGGCAAGATTTTGAAAGGCAGGATTTTGTGTTTCATACTTATTAAATAATTTTCGTATCATTACATCATTTTTTGTCACGAGCTTAATTCATTTACTCTTTATTTGATAGTTTTATATACCGTCTAATTTAACAAATTGGTGAATTAACAGTAAGAAGTCCAAAAAGCATTCTTCTTCATTTTTCTTCGCCCCCCAGCTGTGAGAAAAATAAAGATCTCGGCACAGGTTATAATCCCATGTAAACGGAGATGAAAGATGCCTCAGTACAGCAAGCTGTCAAATTTGGTATTGTGGCTGGTTTGCCTCCAGACAAGCAAACATCTGTAAAATATCAAACTATCCCTCCCCTCACCTCCCCTCCCCACCAACAACGATATTAAAAATACACAAACTGTAATTATTTCGTTATTACGTACAAATCTACACTAACTGTGGACCGCATATTCCAATTTATACAGTTCTAGAACTGGACAATTAATTTACTACAATGTTAAAATACAGAGAAATTTCACTTATTTTAGAGCTTGTAGTTCGAGTTTCGAATCGGGCCATGGTAGTAATTGGCTCGACTGTAAATTATTTGTGCTCCGTTAACTTCGAGGTAGTTCTCTTCTCAAAGGAGGGGAATAAACATTTATTTGTCTCAGTTGCATATCCTTGCCGCAGTGACTTGAATCGAATGCCTCGTTGCGTCACAGTAGATTTGAGTTTGCAACTCGCATCAATGGACAATATAATCTTTATTGTGATATATATTATATTGCGGGCGCATGTGATTAATTTCTGCCATGAACCGGTTATAGAATGAAGTGAGCGCACAATCTATATAGATTAATAGCGTATAATGTGTACAAAATAGTGTTTGCTTACTACTCTCTTTCTCTTTTCCTTTGGATTTGCTTTTTGTGGTCGGACATTTTCTATTGGTGGCTGAACATTTTCTTTAATATCGCCATAGCTTGAATTTTCATCGGCGTCTTTGTCGAAGTTCTCTTGATTTGCTAAACACTCGCCTTCGTGCTGGCTTAACAATGTAGGGTCTTCTTTATAGAAAAATAACACAATTATTTTATTCTGAAACGGCAACCATAGCCGTAAGCGTACGTGCTAAGGGATCGTATAAATACAGAGTTAGAGGTCAGTTCCGCACCACAGATGGCGTGAAATTAGACTAGTCACGTGACTCACGTTAAAAACTTTGCCTTGACAAACGAGTTTTGACTGTTTTTTAACAGCCGAGCAGTCGTAAGTACACTCGAATATATGATTACATTATATTATACTCTACTCTGTATAGCTACTACTGTGAAATATAGCCTAGTATAATACTCTACTAGAAATACATGCATGCAGTGCCCCCTCGCCTTGCTAACCAAACCACTGTATAAAGCAAAATTGAAGTATCAGAAGTAGTTGTGGTTGGACAACATATTTTTGATTCAAAATTGTATGAAGAAAATAAAAGACCATTACTTTTAATTTTTCACAAATGAAAGTTAAGCCGCAGCCCATGCATGGTCAGGCATATGTGGGGCATTTGATTTTTCATTAAATTATTTGGTTAAATTCCCTACCATGGGAAAAGAGATATCATGCAGTCAATGTCTCACTCACAGAATACTACACAGAAGTCCATATCCATTGGGTTTTTTTTGCATAAGCGCAAGTACTCGATGATTGCAAAACTTCCAAATCCTTAATTTCAAATGCCCCACCCCAGGCAAAGGTTTGAGTTCAAATGCTCAAACCACGGACATGCTTTACAGGAAAATGGCCCGGAGTTGGGCACGCTTGGATTTGACCGATGCATTAAAAGTCATGGAAGTCTGTGCACTTGCTAGAATAAGAAGTATATTTACTAGACAGTAAATACCAATAAACAGTAAATAGTAGACAGTAAATACCAATAAACAGAAATGTATTTAATTTATATCATAGCATTACAATTTCATTTTTATACTATAAAAAATATATAAACATGCAGTCACAGATATGCAAAATGTTAACTTGGTTTTATTTATAGATTTAGCAAATAGCAATAAAAGTTACCTTCTCTTCACATCGCTTTATACTGTAAGTCAATGCTTTAAATTTACATATTTTAGAATCAGTTCATTTCCTCGTATTAAACTGCATGTATTTCTACATGAAATCATTGTGAGTACCGAGCGGGTTTACTATAAACGAACTTTAGGAATTTATAACATCTTTGAATGATCGTTTGACATTCGGACACAGTCGGAAAAATGTTGATAGTATCAATGTTGTACCGTCGCTTGCAACTAACGATGAACGGTTGCTCATAAAACATTACATATATTTGCATTAGAGTTGCATTGCATATATAGAATACACAATGTATTATCTGCAACTATTTACCCTTAGTTGCAAGCGACGGTATTTGCAACCACGAACGGGGTTATGGCAGTTACTGTAAGCCAGCATGAAATTGCCTGTGACATTATTAATATTACTGACTTGAACTTGTATGACAAACACTTTATTGGAAAATTGTAAAGAAACAGAGGATGGAATATACTTGTACAGCTATCATTGGTATATAGCGTTGTGAAGACAAACCACAAGATACAGTACCTTTTACACATTGGTAATTTTTAATTTATAATGAACGAATAAAGTATATTTATAGAGCTATTATTATATAGAACATGGGTCATGGTCATGATAGTATGATCATGATAGTGCAGTTTCATGTATAAAGTAATAACAACACAAACTATCAAGGGGGCTGGTTGTATGAAGCGGGCTATCTGCTAATTTATGTCAAGAAAATATATCCTTTGACCCAAAGCCGAAAGGAAAATCTTGATTAACTAAAAGACCAGTTTACACTTAATCTGAACCAAATATTTTTATCAACTTTTTTGAGAAAATCTTGAAGGCAAAACAGAGAAGAAAGTAATCGACCTGGTGAGATGGCTGCATGGGCTAGCTTTTCCATATAAACAGCCCTAATATATCAATTTAATAAGTTTAACTGAAAAATAAACTAAATTTAACTGTCAAATTTAGCCGTTATTACTGTAAACAATTTTAACAATTGCATATTTGATATAGTAACAATATAAAATTACATTGTTAGTTTATCAAATCTGCAATGGTTAAAAACAACTGGCCGTCCCTTCCCCTCTTTTGAACCATGCCTTTGGGGGCACTTGATCCTGGCATGCCCCCGTTCACCGCACAACCAGCATACTATGCCTATATTTGAAAATATAAAATTCTAGTATGTAGTATTATTAACCCATTGAGTGGCAGCACTCTCCACTTGACAAGTAAAATCATCTGGCGTTACACAGAGCAAAGTCGTCTGGCATTAGACAGAGTAAAATACGAAAGTATGGCTAATGAGGGTGCATTGCCTCTTAAAAGATTAACCTGTCAAGTGGAAATCAGGCCTCGAATTTCCCTGAAATCAAACGACGGCAATGGCGTTAAAAATTGCCGTAGAACGTAACAGCTGTCTACGCCAATTTTGGCAGTTTCCACGGCATTTTTTCAAATTACTGTAACAAAAATTTAATTTTTATTTATTTAACTTTGCCAATAAACATTAAAACGCAGAAAAAACATATATGGACAATGGCAGGGAACACGCTACAGCTTACGCCAATTACAGCGGCCCTTACATATAAGATACGACATCACAAACATTAAACTATTGTCTAATAACAACACGATACTTCACAGGACAGATTACGGGACTTGTTACAGGACAAACATATTGATTTCCATGTTCTTGGATCATCCACGTCGTAGACAGTTTGTAATGCTACTTTACAGTACATGAAAAGTCCATTTTTTAACTGACTAATTTTATTGTTAATATAGTAATTTAGTGAATAGTATAAAAATTATACTATACGGCAAAAATTGCCGTCGTTTCCGCAATGATCCACGGCATTTTGTACTCCCTCTACGCCAATTGCCGCCACTGCCGGGATAAAATTCGAGCCCTGGTGGAAATACACCAATATGCACTCAACTTTGTTATTCTATTATGTATAATACCAGACAATTTTATTTGTCATCGGGAGAGTGTTGCCACTCAATGGGTTAGTCTGTTATTGGGTCCTACAGCATTTATTTGAAAGAATAAGTTAAGGCTGTTATTTCTATGGACCTTTTTCGAGGGTTGTTGTTGCCTTCAATATGTTCACTGTACTCAAAATTGATCCTACTTCGAGCAATTTTTCAACATGGTGTCGTATATAATTTAAAAAATATTTATTTTTAAATGAAACAATGCTGGAAATTGGATTTGCGCAGCTTGACTTCATCCTGCAAGTGCAACTGTACAACTCTTTTACATTGTTTAACCCAATGAGTCGTATTGCACCCGGATGCACCCTACGTTAGTATTTTACTCTGTCTAACGCCAGACGATTTTACTCGTCAATGGGAGAGCGCAGGCGCTTAATGGGTTAATGTTCTATATATGCAGAATAATATTATAATTGTGCTTATTTTTTGTATTTTCCAGGAACATTGTCAAAGAAACATTCATTTTCCAATATACAATAATTATTAAAATTTATTGTAAAGTTAATTGGTCCAATATTTTTGACCACTGTAATATCACAGGACTATTATAATATTTGTAGTTTTAGTAAAGTACATACGTGAACGGCATGCCACAGCATAATGGCCACGGAGGCCACACTTATAGCAACGTCCTAAATTTAAAGAAAATACAATCAGTTTTCAAGAATATTCATTTAGGTTACAGTACATACTGGAAGTGCACTCACTAAGATGTTGATAAAATACAGATGTTAACAAAATATACAGTACTTATCATTGCCCATTCTCCTTGCTTGATTTTCTAAATTAGAAATATAGAATCGAAAGAAGTTTAATTTTCCAAAGTTCTGAAGTAAACAAATGTGAAGTTCTGCTATATATATAGACGAAAACAATGTGTTAAAGTTTGACCCAGAGCTAGTGCTAATCGTGCGTTCAATAACAGTCCTCAGTACTTAGTGTATAAATCTATTTCAAGAACTATACCGTCACGACGTTGTGGGTGTCGTTCATGATTAACTGTAATGAAAGAATGTTGATTAGTTTGAATTACACAAGAGAGGTATAATTAAACTTTATAAAGAATGTACTATTACCATGCCGTGGACGTTGTTGTCGTTCTTGAACTGAAAAAAATAGTACTAACTCTAGTTAGACCAAATTACATATTACAGATATAGGTATGTAAGTATATCAACATTAGAACCATACCATTTGCATCTTCCTGTCGAGGTTGTTCATTCACTGAAATAAAATCATGCACCTTATTGTAGAAGTAATAATAATATAATTATAAGTATGATTGAACCATACTGAACATATTGTTTTATAAAGTTAACTTACATGGCTGGACTTCTCCTTCATCCTCTTCGACTTCACTTTCTATAGTTAATTAGAAAAAAAATGTTGCAAATATTCATAAGAAATCTGTAAATATACTTAATCTGTAATATATTGTACATAATATATTCTTAATTATCAATCATTACTATATTATTGTAGAAAACATTCACAACTCTACCATGGAGAATATAATTGAAAGTTAATCCTTTCTTGTCAATTGAGTACATCAGATTTTATTATTTCTCAAACAGAATGACCTAGCTTTAAGAATTTGAGTTTTAAATATATAACTGAATTCTTACCATCATCAACATGAATGTCTAAAATAAAAGATGTTGTGTTAGAAGGTTAAAAATGAGGTTACTGTGTCACATGCATGATATTGCAAATTGATAATCCGTAGAATGAATATTTTTCTGTGTTGGTGTTGTGTACTCAGGTGAATAATATGTTTTGCGATGTTACTCTGAGTGCATATCCACACCGGGCGAGCTTGAAAAATATGCCCGGCCACGGTGGGATTCGAACCTACGACCCTTGGAATACTAGCCCAATGCTCTTCCAACTGAGCTACGCGGTCAGGACGGTTCGAGTAAGTGATATTTCGGAACAGTATCTAGTTCCTTCAATACCAATGTATTCTAGTAATATGAATATTTTTCTGTGTTGGTGTTGTGTACTCAGGTGAATAATATGTTTTGCGATGTTACTCTGAGTGCATATCCACACCGGGCGAGCTTGAAAAAAATGCCCGGCCACGGTGGGATTCGAACCTACGACCTTTGGAATACTAGCCCAATGCTCTTCCAACTGAGCTACGCGGTCAGGACGGTTCGAGTAAGTGATATTTCGGAACAGTATCTAGTTCCTTCAATATCAATGTGTTCTAGTAATATGAATATTTTTCTGTGTTGGTGTTGTGTACTCAGGTGAATAATATGTTTTGCGATATTACTCTGAGTGCATATCCACACCGGGCGAGCTTTAAAATATGCCCGGCCACGGTGGGATTCGAACCTACGACCTTTGGAATACTAGCCCAATGCTCTTCCAACTGAGCTACGCGGTCAGGACGGTTCGACATAGAATAAAGATCATATAGAAGGGCCACTTACGTCGGAAGCTTTGAAGTTTCTGTCCTCGCGCATGTCGCATTACGCATGTTGGCCGCCATCTTCCTAGCCAGTCAATGACATTTTCTGGCCAATAAACACGCTGTACTGGCTGGCTGCTCCGCCTTCTGGCCAGTAAACTGCATATTTTTGCATAAAAAAACGAGGACACGTTGCACCGCTGAGTGGCCCTTCTGTTACTGATCTTTATTCTGTGGGTTCGAGTAAGTGATATTTCGGAACAGTATCTAGTTCCTTCAATACCAATGTGTTCTAGTAATATGAATATTTTTCTGTGTTGGTGTTGTGTACTCAGGTGAATAATATGTTTTGCGACGTTACTCTGAGTGCATATCCACACCGGGCGAGCTTGAAAAATATGCCCGGCCACGGTGGGATTCGAACCTACGACCTTGGGAATACTAGCCCAATGCTCTTCCAACTGAGCTACGCGGTCAGGACGGTTCGAGTAAGTGATATTTCGGAACAGTATCTAGTTCCTTCAATACCAATGTGTTCTAGTAATATGAATATTTTTCTGTGTTGGTGTTGTGTGTACTCAGGGGAATAATATGTTTGCGATGTTACTCTGAGTGCATATCCACACCGGGCGAGCTTGAAAAATATGCCCGGCCACGGTGGGATTCGAACCTACGACCTTTGGAATACTAGCCCAAAAACATATTATTCACCTGAGTACACAACACCAACACAGAAAAATATTCATATTAATTACTAGAACACATTGG